TCATGTGGATGCCACTTGACATACACCACCCACTAAAACATGGCAAAAGCAGACTTCAATGGTGGTGGCCACCCATCAGGACAATGGACCATGTCACACCGCAAAAAACTGCTCAGGAATGACCCGAGGAACATGAAAAAGAGCTCAAGGCAATGACCCAGCCTCCAAATTTCCCAGATCCCAATCTGATCGAGCAATCTTGGGACGTTCTGTTACCCCACCAAGCAACTCGCAGGACTCAACTGATTCACGGTCAACACCCTGGTGCCAGATACCCCAGGACACCCCAGAACTCCTGTGTCCATGCCACGACAGGTAAGAGCCAAGTCCGATCCATGGAGGCCCCACCGTGGATCAGATTTAGCTCTGGGGTACAGGCATGTCCTATGCATGTCCAATCAGATTGGGATCTGGGGAATTTTGAGGCCAGGTTGATGCCTTGGAGTCACATTCCTTGGGCCATTCCTGAGCAGTTTTTGCGGTGTGGCATGGTACATTGTCCTGCAGGAGAAGCCACTGTCATTGATGACTGTACTTGGTCTGCAGCAGTGTTTGGGTGGGTTTTAATGTTGTGGTTGATCAGTGTGTATACATTACACTTTCATTGTGAACAACAGCACTCATTGGTGCTTTGTAATTGTATACAGTGTCTACAGTACACTCGTAGAGTGGGTGATTCAGGGTCATAATATGATGTACATTACTGCCATCTTATGGTCAAATGAAGGACCTACAATTCATTTATGCATTTTTTTTGTTGATCTTGCAGACAAGCAGCTATTGTCTTTGTCAAAGTTTGTGTATGTCTATTTTGTTTTACACAAACTTAAAGTTATAGACCACAGACAAACAAAGGTCTAAGGTCCTATATTCACAGTTCATAGTTGTCTATGAATGGTTGTCACAGCAAGTTATCCAGTAAAATTGAAGTGGTTTCATTTGCTCTAGATTGGACCTCTGCCCAGACTTAAGTTAGGTGGAGCTTCAACAGCAGTTACATGAGTTCTCGGAACAACAAGATAACTAAAGTGTGAGTCGTCCTGTCCAACCAGATACCAAACAATCAGGAGAGCGAGGTAAAGACGCCCCAAACAGTCTGGAGAAAAGCTCTCATCAGGAAACAAAAGTGATAACACCTGTGCAAGTGTGCACAGCTTTAAAGCGTATAACTTCTTAACCCAACTTTGTTTCTACTACCAATTTTTAACTATATATAGCAACACAGTTACACTGCAAATGTAGCCGAGCAGCACCGGAAACTTACCCGAACATACAGTCCCCGCAGACATAATACCTGCACAGGTGTAACCCATCGCACTGTAGACAATCTCCAGGTTTCTTCTGACACAGCCGCAGACTGGTTTTAGCCACTACCAGACTGTCCGGGCTGATTATCTTACCGCAGACTTCCTGTCTGCCTGCCTGGATGGCTATCTTACCGTCGTCGAAGAGGACGCTGCGCAGGACCGCGTCTGCAACAGTGAAATTCTGTGCGATCTTTTCCTCCAGGCGCCTGAAGTCCAAACATCCCTGTTGGTCGCACAGGGTCGTGATGACAAACTTAGAGATGACTGAAGTCATCCTGATATGCGTTTCGCCTGGCAGACAAACCTACACTGCTGTCAGAGCAGGGCTCACTTCCTCATAGAAAGAGGGACGGCTGGTTACAGAGAAATGAAACTGAAACTTAAAGCAAAGGAAATAATCTGCGGCCTGCTGCAACTTTCAAGCTGTGTGGTTCTGTGTGATTTGCACAAATTGAAGTTACACCTCCTTCACAGTACACCCATGCCAAGCAGTCCGCAGAAAGACCTCTCTAAGGGACTGTTCGTTACCAGGGAATGAGGTGATGGTAAAACGAGAGGCATGTCAAATATATTTTAAGCAATGGGGAGGGACTCGTGTTTTTTATTATGGCTTACAGGAGGGGCAAATGGCTGTATTTTGTATTTATTCATAGAGAAAACATGCCTTTGGCCCTGACCAAACACAAAGCATACCGCACTGCCTTTTTTCCTATGGAATACTACTAGTGGAAAAAAACAAACAACTTGCTGCACCTTTGCATTGTTGCTAGGCAACCACATCAACACGTCCATACCTAACCTTCCTATTCAATCAGTCTATTGTGTTTTTTCCCCAGTAGTTAGTATCTAGTTCCTAAAATGTTCAGACACAGGGTGCTCTAGCTGGAGTTGATGGTGAGAGGCTGTCAGCAAAGTACCATCAGTTGGTCCAGGAGCTTTGCCTCAACAATGGCTGTTTCCAGGCATATTTTAGGATGACTTGAGTGCAGTTTGACAACCTACTATCGTTGGGCCGTATAGCTCTGGGTATCCAGAAACTGCTACCACCACTTTCTCCTCCATTGTTTACCAACTCTTCACTTGTTGTCGTGACCATGATGAAAAAAAAGAGATGACGTGGGCCGTTGAGTTGAAGTTTTTTCAACACGAGGAGTTCGCGCTCCGGCAAAAACGCCAGGCGCTTAGAATGCAGAAACACGAGGCGTGTCGGAACGCAAAAACTGTATGCAAAAAGCTTAATTTTCATTAAAATTAATTACTAAAAGGTGCCTCCAGCTGCTAAATGCTTTCTGTGTGAGCTGGGCCTTACACCATTTATCATAGCCAGGGACTGTGGAAACAGAAATTATTGTTAGATTTTCAAATATTATTATTAAATCATTATGCAAGACTCATGTTGTGTTCACACTGGGCAGAAATTAAATAATTACATGTAAAGTCAATGTAAAGATGCAATTAGACGCGAATTCCCGCCGGGTGGTGCAAAGGACACAATTAAACAGCGTGAATGAAGTAGTGTGATTTTGCATCATACCCTTTTTCGGAAGAGTTGAAAAATCTAAACTTCAGTGACCAATTCGCACTAGGATAGCCAATCAGCATTGAGATCCCCCAGGGACATATGATGCCGAGGAGGTACCCGCAGAAGTTCATTCATCGATTCAGCCATTTAACGCACATATGGTGCGAATTATTTGCACAAATGAATCGAGTCAACAAAATATTTAAGTGCTCAATGTTGCGCGAGTTATGCGATGGGAAAAGCATCACGTTTGGTGTGAACACAACATAACACTTATGACAGAAAATCACGTGACCAAATCTAAGTTTAAAATAGTGATATTTTATCAAAATTATCTTATTCTCCATCTCGTTTCCATTTATTTATTTGTTTATTTTACCAAAAATAAACTATTTGCACCAACGAACCAGCATGCATGAATGAGAAACCAAGGCTTTTTTTTGACTCCAGGATTTTCTCTTCAACTTTTAACTTTCAGATATCAAAGAGTACATTTCAAAAATCAAACAGCTAATTTATGGCGGAGAGCGGATCATGCGTTTTCCCCAAGTCATTCGGGGAGGATTAAAGGGCCAGTGTGTAAAATGGGTTGAAAACAGTGACATCAGTGGCCAAATTCTAGATTGCAGGGCTCACTCGCTCACCCCTCCCGTCGGGTAAATGACGGCGGCCTCGTAGGGACAAACGCCTTGCGCACGAGTTTTTCAGGAGTAGGTCTATCTAGCCACGAGGTGAATGTTTATTTGGAAATCTAAGCCATGTTACGATATTGTAATGAATCCCTCACGAGCAGGAGACCAGAGGAGCGTTCGGAAAAAAGGCCCGTTTATTTGAGCACTCCAAAAACTCCAGTAACACTCCAGGGGGTAAAAGACTCCCAAACTCTGACTCTTCTAGCGTAACAGACACACTCCATAACTTTACACACATACTCGTTTACCATACCGAGTGGGGACCCCCCTCCCCTCTCTGCTCAATATCCAGCCCGCACACTGACTGACAGCGTAGCCGGTAAACAGAGCTCAGCTGTTTATTTAGCCTAGCGATATCTCCGGACTATAGTAGCTGCAATGGACGACTTTGAACGCGATTTTGAAGAGTTTCTTGTAGCGGACACAGACCCAGAGCCATACCTGTTTGAGCCGGAGCATACAGACGAGGAACTCCATGTGTTTGATGCTGAGTAGGCGAGAAGAGAGGCTGAATGCACAGAATGGGATTCGGTGCTACTGCTACCATCGTTGGGGAGATATATCATCAGGAGGAAAAGCGCTGCAGAGAGTGCATCACAAGGAGTGAAGTTGCGTCTTCTTTTCCTCGCAGATGACGGTTCGGGTTCATTCTCTCCTGTTGCGTGGAAAGTATGGTCCATTCGCAAACTTTATAACTAAAAAAACTTTTCACTACTCTCTATCGACGAACTACTCTCTGCTGTTTCCTCCTCCTTCTTCCTTCCTTCCACTGTCTTTGTTGGTTCATTTATACATGCGAAACGCGTTCTCTGGCTGGCTGGATTGTCCGCTCGGTCTGCCGTATATACATGGCGGCGCAAGATGGCGACCTCTCTAAAGCAAGGCCCTTGCTATATATATATAAAAGCATAATTATAAGGCTACGAAAACCAAACGAATTTTATATTATAGCGATTATACACTTGTATAAACATATTAATAGGTAGAATATTCAGATTCAGATTCAGATTGACAATAAACCATGCCAAATATTACACACTGGCCCTTTAAGGAAATATACTTTTAAACGCACACAAATTGAGGTCACACCCCAGCCAAGCCCGCTCCTCTGACAAGTAAAGAACAGTCCCTAAATAGGCCTGCCTCTAAAGGAATTTGTTACCAGCACTCTTCTTATCAAACGTTGAGTTTGCGGGTGGATATCAGATGATGGGAACAATCTGAACATGACCAGCTGAAGAGGGTGGTTTATGGTAAGTATGGATTAGACCAGTGTTTCCATAGGATTATTATCAGTTAAATTATTAATTCACATCTAATAACCATTATATAATCCACAAATGAATAAAAAATGCGATCGTTTTAATCAAACTTTTTTTTCTGTCCTTCTTCTTTGCAAAAATTGCAGATTTACGCCAGTACATGAAGGCAACACTGCCCCTAGCAACCACCGCAGGGATTCAGTGTACCTTAGCAACCATGGACGGTCAGCCTTCATTGACGGAGGAAAAGAGAAAAGAGGTCACACAAGAAGAAAAAGAAATCCTCTACAAGCAAGTAGAAGAACTAAAGTAATGAGAATAAATATTCAACTACACACTAGCTCACCCGTTAAGTTTGTTTGCCTAAAGATAACTTTATTAGCTTTGCTATTTTGTGCAACTTGCTAACGTTGACCGCTAACGCTAAACTAACGTTAGCTAATGCTAGTGCTGTTGTTGAGCAATATGATTATAACAGTTAGCCGTAATATTACTAAAACATAACATATTTGAGCCCGTTGCTAAGACTAAAGAAAACATAGCCACATATTTTAAACTGGGCAAGCTTACATTATGACTTATAGTATGACACGTTAAAATACTGAGGCAGATTTGTGGAGGTATTTGCAGTTAAATATCCTCTGTACTACCCACAGTTGATCTGTTTGATCTGTTCTGTACACACGACATCTGTTGCACCTCTGTCCGTCCTGCAAGAGGGATCCCCTTTGGGTAAAAAATGTGCTATATAAATAAATTTGCCTTGCCTTACAGTAGTTACATAAAAAAAAAAAAAAAACTAGTGCTCTGTTTTCTTGGAGAAATGATCAGAGGTGAGTGATAAGTTAAATTCCACAGGTGGCCAGCTTTACTTAATAATCTTAAGCAAACAAACTTTTAGCTTCAAAAAGTTTCTCTGCTTTGACTTTGCTGATATTCACTTCTATTCAAGACGCTCCAATGCAGCTCTCTTGGCAGAGATCGATATGTTTGAACGGTTCATCGGCCGCCTGGATCCTCAGGACCTGGTGGCTCAGGGAGACAGTCCAGGTGAAGCAAGAGCCTCCCAGGAGGGTGGGGTAAGTGCTACCCAGTGACAAGATGTCTTTACTATACAAAACTCAGTATACCCACTGAAAATGGACAGCAACAGGAGGACAGATTTTATTCACAGGATTAGAGAATTATTTTAATCAAAGTCACAAAACAGGAATTAAAAATACAACACACAACCAGGAAGCGATGAACTCAAATACTTATAATGTTGAAAGTGTGACAGAACGTAAGCTGCATGCCACAGTCCTAGAGACAATCCTGATTTTAATTCTGTTGCTAGGGCAGATGACCTCTCTGCACTGTACTCCTGATAGCCCCACATAATTTTGTATACGTGTGTGTGCCTTGTCAGGGTCGTGGGCGGAGGCAGAGGTCCCGCTCCAACACATCAGATCGCCTCCAGGAGCTGACCTTGGGACAAAAACTTTATGTTGCACGGAGTGAAGAAGCAGAGACGCGACATGACCTGGAAAAACTCAAACAGAGACATGAGAGGATTCAGGACAACTACAAGGTTACAACACACCATTGCCCAAGAAACACAATCATAGCTTAATAATACACACTTCTCAGAGATTCTGCTTGTCTTTTCAGGCCACCCTGGAAGGAGCAGAAATGCGTCTTGCAGACATCTGGAAGGCTAAGAAGGCATTTGAACGCAGTGTGCTTAAACCTATGAAGGACAACAGGTTGGAAATGAGGAAGCCCGAGAATGTGCTCCAGTACATCAAAGACAAGTCAATGGTAAAAATGAAGTCTGGTCTAATGACATCAACATGTGCAAAGTAGCATTCAAATAGATTTTGAAGCATAACTAGAGTACACATTTTAACTCAACTTACAACAGATGCCATTATGTGTGCAGCTGTTCAAACTGAATAGTTTAATGAACGTCTCATAGTTCAATCATGATATACAATTTCATATACATGCATGTTTTCATCACCATGTATGATGGATGAGGTTAATATAATCACTTTAATTTTTTAACTTTAGTCTGTTATTTTGCTTTGTTAACACGTCTTTCTTGTTAGCTTCTGCATTCACATTTCCGCTTTAAAATGCCATCTCAGCAGGATTATTATTCTGTCGTCCATCTATTTTTCTTACTGATGTTTTAATTCACCGGTTGTTTCTTTATCCTGCAGAAAAAGTCAGGTGCAGTCAAATAACACATAATAATCATACCTCTTAAACCCTTTGAAACCTGAGAAAATTGGCTTGACTTCATTAGTAAAAAGAGAAAATTAAAACAAGAAAATTAGTA